CCTAAGGCACTTGACTGCTAATCAGAAGGCTGGCGGTTCAAACCCACCAGCCACTCCTTGGAAGGAAGATGGGGCAATCTACTTCCGTATGATATTACCTCAGAAATCCAAGGAGGGGTCACTATGAGTCAGGTCCAACTTGATGGCACATAACAACAACAACAACATTGTTATGGGACCTTCTCACATCAGGAACCATTTGGATTATTCTGAGAGAATAATTTCTGTAGTTTCCTCTGAATATGTACATAGATTATCACACAGGCAAACAATGCTACCAAGGGATAAATGAAAACTTCTTAGACTTTTTCATCAAATCAAAGGCCTTCCAACTTACAATAATATTTCCTTAATGTCTTTCTCAAAAGTAGAAGAAAAAGGATTCCTGCTATCCTGGCTCAAGAGCTGTCAAATGGCAGAAAGCACACATCCTAGGGGTAGTGTGAAACAGACATTGCAACAGAAGATCAAAATGGTGCTTCTTCCTGGAGCATAATTTTAACTCAATGATGGTTGATTTAAAATAACATTAAGCAAATGTGGAGTGTAATGAAATAGAAAACAACTTTTAAGGTTATATTCCATATGAAATTTGAAGATTTGAGAACTGAAAAGTATTTGGTGCTTGGAGCAGGTGGTTTCTGACTACCTTAGTTCCCCTAGGGAGCGCATTTTTACTGTTCTCTCCTCTTAGGAGCATGTTTGTCACCATCTTAAAGAACACACAGTGCCTTTCAAAACCATTTTAGGTCTGCTCTACATTATACCAAACATATGAGACTACACCTACATCATACAACAAATACGCTTCTTTGCTATGACTTTTTAATAATTTTTATTTTAAAACTTTCCATTTCTTTTATAACTTACTATGATTTCTTGGCCATCACCACATATACTAAGAAATTCTTACATAAGGAGAAAAATCTGACCTTCAAATTATTCTTAAAGGTGATGAAATTCTTATTAATCCTGAGTTTAAAAATAAATGGTACATTTTCATAGACATTTAATTAATCATTTATTACTTGGTATTTTGTCCTTTTGTGTGTGTAGAGTCCATAAACATGATTTTTCATATCTCAAATATTTTTGTAGCCCTTAAAAAAGTCATGGGCCCCAGCAGCACTGGAAGTATTCTTGTGAGTCTGAGAAGTCAAGGAAACCCTTGGTTACGCAGGAAGGCATTGACAGACTGAGCACCTTGTCTTTTGGTTCATAGTAACCATGGGAAAATTTGGTGCACTACTGAAAAATACTAAATTATGATCTAAGGAAATTTGGGGTCATTTCACAGTTCTGAAATAAAAGAGCCGTTTCCATGGAACACATAGATGACAATTTGTAATTAAATCAAGTCAAATTGTATCCATAGAGGCTTAGTGAGAAAGCAATATATAATTGGAGAGACAGTCACTGATAAAGAATATGTATTCACACATTGTCACTGTTTCAACTAGCTGCTGGGCTGTCATGCTACCTACATGCCACGCTCTTAACATTGACATTGTTCTTCTTAGTGTCCTGAGAGTGTTTTCTCTCTAGTTTTTTGGAAGACCTTATCAAAGAAGTTTTATTAATTTGTAATCAGTTGAGTCCCTTGCTCTGTGTGGACAAATAATGGCTTCTTTAATGTCAAAGACAATTGTAGCATCACAGGCTTTCAGGATTGGAAGGGACTTTGGACAGTCAATATCTGTCTGCCTGGTGCCAGAATCCCAGAAAACAAAAATCAGGTAGTAAAACCACAGTCGGTAATACCCCAAAGTGTCAGGTGGTGGCAGTGGTAGATAAGAATGTGGCTGAAGTGCTCAGTGCTTTCTCACAACAGTCTTCCTTGTTGGAGCTCCCAGGGTTATACACGTCACGGGGACACTGCCATTCATAGAAAGGAGTCTGAGCTAGCAGGCCTGTCTGTAGTCTTTATCCCAACCCTCTGTGATTTAGATATTAAGGCCAAGGACAGCTCACTAGACATAAATGTCAAAGCAAAAGCTACAAATCTCAGGATCTGCCAACAAGGATATTGCAAAGCAAACCTGTTTTCAGGTTTCATAGGCGCCATGTCCAAATATACCATTACCCATGTGATCTTGGGCAATCAGTCACCTATTTACTTGTCAGAGTTTCCTACTGGTGTATAATCTACTCTTGGATCACAATGCCTGCCTCATTAAAAAAAAAGAAAAAAAAAATTGATGTGGAGTTTATTTTGATTCAGTGACCCTGTAAGACAGAGTAGAATTGCCCCTAGTTTCCAAGGCTGTACAGAAGCAGACTGCCACATCTGTCTTTCTCCCATAGAGCAGCTCTCTCTCTCTCTCTATATATATATATATATGCTTTTTTTTTTTTTTTTAATGGTTGACTTCATTTTCCTCTCCAGGCCTAAGGTTATTCATCTGTAAAATGAGAGTTGCTAGCTCTGAAAGTCTAACAGTCTGTGGCTGTCATGAAAGATAAGAGAGCCTTTCCAAGTTTCACTAGTAAAACACCAGTGACCATGGAATCCCAGAGGCAAGTTTAAGTTTTGTTGGTGACATGAGGTATGAGCTGGAAGAAGTGGATGACAAGGTGACATGTGGTGTGATCTCACTGAGATGCATCATCCTTTAAGACAGCATGCAAGCCGAGCCCAAACACCACCACTAGTTAAGGCGTTGGACTGACACTTTATGGGAGCTTTGCCTCCTAAAAAGCCACTTCCTCCTTGGAGGTTGAAGCTGCCCCCCCCACACACACACACACATACACACATCCTCTGGAGAGGTAGTTTTGCTTCTGATGTGAATAATCTGTACATTTATCCCATAAGAACTCAGTGAAGGTTTGTCATAGGTTTATTGTAATCTTGATTCCCTAAGACATCCAGAACCCAAATCTGAGAAAGCATACACTGTGCCACCAATATCTAATATCTATTCCCCCACTCATAACTACTTATAACTTCCTCACTCATATATTCAATTCTTAATCCCTCCTCCCCCGCCAAAAAAAAAAAATGGAATTGGAACAAAATAAGTAAGAGACATTTCTAGTGCAGAAATGAATCTTCCCAGATGAAGGGTACAGACCCTCACATCTTTGTGATTAAAATCATGCACACATGTCCTTCTATAGTCAAGCACCTAACTGCCAGTCAGCTTTCATCAGTGGGATTTGTCCCAGCTGTTCTGTAGACTGCCTATGCTGTCTGAAACCAATTCCCTAGTCTTCACAAGAATTCATATTCCCTTCTTCTCCCCACAGGCAATAGTTTGTGTTCAAGAGAGCCATCAAACTTCATGTACCAGGGAGTCAAGATTGCAGTTTCTAAAGCGATAGGTTCACATTCTTATATATTCTAGGGCAGTCTCCCCAAAAATGAAAGCATAACATGTTCTTTGACCATTCTCCCTGCCCTCAACCTGCCAGGACACCTTCCTGTGATCTTGAAGTGTATTCTCCTTTCCTTTTAAAGAGCCTTCAAAACCTTTTTTTAAGGAAAGAAATTAATGGGAATGGTGAGAAAGAAACAGTACAAAAAACCTCCTTTCTTTTTCTTTTCTTGTTGAGCCGCTTACACTGCCTGTGCCCCAGGGGCTCTAGATGCCCTTCGGTAAATGGCAGCCCCAGACTTTTTGGGATTTTATCACAATTTAGGAATCCCTGTTAAAACTCCACCTGCTCTTCATCTTACTAATTTCCCTTTGTCCACATATAAGCCACACAGAAAGAAACCTGTTTTCGTTTTAAACTTTATAATCTGATTTACATTTTTCTAGGCTCGTGATCTTGGGTCCAGAGGCTTTGAAGGGAGGGCATCATATCACACTGAAATGGATGGAAGGCTATAAATAGCATTTATATAAACAGAGTAAGCCATTACCCAGGAGAAGAATCTTACAAAATTCTGTCCGTTTCCCACCAACTAGAGATGGGTTCCAGCTGTTTGTTCCTGGAGATGGAGTCCAGCTGTGTGAATGGGAAGGCCCTTCCTGTTCAGATTATATAGTGTTCAGATGAACAGGGTGGGTAGCACAGAACTGACAAGCCCCAATCCCTGACAGAGACATGAAAACCAAGGACACTGCTCTTGGACAAATGAACAGAGTCATTCACCTTTTCCCTGGGCATCACTGGGTCAAATATTAACCCACCTAAATAGGTTAGAGGTCTGTTCTGAGGGGCAAAGTTTGATAAACACAGCCTTTTGTCCAGAAGCTGTCTTCTTCTGATGTCTGTGGTTCTTATTCTTGTCCATGGCAGTAGGACCAAGGTTTCATCAGACATGTAATAGTCTGGTTCCATAATACAGTATCTTAAAGGCCAACTCCAAGAAGCCTGAAAATAAGAAACATTCTTCCAGAAGGATGCTTTCCCACTGTATTTTCTACTTGTCCACATAATTGGTTTGCCTAAAAGGATGGTAAGCAGGTTATTCCATAGATTTCACAGAGCCAGGAAAGTATTTCTAGAGAAGTTTTGTGACAGCTATTAGTCCTCTGCCCCTTGTCTCAACTTCCCAGACATGAACCTCCAGAAATATCTGTGCCATATTCCTTGAGCTCCTCCTTCCTTTTATCGTTACCTGTCCACAAGAGACCAAGCTTGAACACACAATCTTCTGTTCCTTCTAACACAGTTGTAAAATTGAGGACCTCCACCATTAAAGCAATACTGATATTGCATCCTCGTAAAATGGATTTGTTGCTTCTTCCATAGAATCAGCAAGGGGTCAAAGGTCACCAGATTCACTTTATAGAACCTATGATTTCAAATATCAGGCAGCAGCAGAATGTCAACTGTTTCACAGATCGCCAGCACTCACTTAAACTGGTGTTGGGAGTAGAACAGTGTTAGTCTCTTAAAAACTTCTCAATGCTTTGTCATCATCCACCCACCTCCAACTATTCATTCTGCCTGCATTTGAGAAGATATCAACTAAAGACATGCTGCCTGTTATAAATTTATATCCCTCAAAATATGAGTTGTAAATCCTACCCACTACGCCTGTTGTTATAATTCCACTTAGGAATGGGTTGTCTCTGTTATGTCAATGAGTCAGGAGTAGTGTGGGGTGTGTTTTGACTCAATCTCTTTTGAAATATAAAAGAGATTAAACAAGCAAACAAGAGAGGAGAGATGGAGTTAGAGAGACGCCAAGACACATGGAGATCTCTAAGGAATAAGGACGTAGAAGTTGAAGAAACAAGGACCTTCCTGCAGAGCTGACAGAGAGAGAAACACTTGCCCCAGAGCCAGTGCTCTGAATTCAGTCTTTTAGCCTCCTAAACTGAGATAAAACAAATTTCTGTTGTGGTATTACTAGATACCACAGCACTGGATAACTAAGACATTGCCTGCCGATAAAAAGACTGTACTTGAAATAATCATAATAATTACAATAATCAACATCAGTAAGAACATTTTATTTTATGAAGCTCACACATGCGTGGCCTCATTAAATTCTACCCAGGGCTGTCATATTGCATTGTATTGCACAGGGCAAATCTGCTACAAAAGACCTCTTAACGTATTGAAGAGCAAAGATGTCACTATGAAGATGAAGGTATGCCTAACCCAGGCCAGGGTATTTTCTTTTTTTTTTTAATCTATTTTTTTAATTTTTGCAAAGTTTCCTTCTGCCCCTCCCACCCCCAGTCCAGGGTATTGTCAATCACCTCCTACGCATGTGAAAGTGGACAATGAATAAGGAAGACCAAAGAAGAGCTGATGTTTTTAAATTGTGGTGTTGGGGAAGAATACTGAAAATACCATGGCCTGCCAGAAGAACAAACAAATCTGTCCTGGAAAAAGTGCAGCTGGAGTGCTTCTTGGAAGCGAGAATAGCCAGATTTTGTCTCTCCTACTTTGGTCATGTTGTCAGAAGGGATTATTCCCTAGAAAAGGATATCATGTAAAGTGGAGGGTCAGAGAAAAGGGGGAAGATGCTCACTGAGACGGAGTGACACAGTGCCTGCAATGATGGGCTTAAGCATCACAAGGATTGTGGGGACAGCACAGGACCGGACAGGGTTTTATTCTGTTGTCCGTAGGGGGGCTCTGAGTCAGAAGTGACTCAACAGCACTTAACAACACTAACAACAGGGCCACGTAAGGTGAGTATTATGTCTATTTTTCCTATGAGGAAGCTCCAAAGTCAAACAGCCAGTGAATAACAGAGTCAGATCACAAACTCCTCATCTGCGGGACAGCACCTGTTCATCACCTTTCCAGATGAAGGTCAAGCAATGACTCCTGTGTGAGTCCTCGCTCACCCTCCTCAATCCCACCTCACCCAGGGGGGGTTGCCCACTTCTTTCTTTGTGGGTTCACTATGCTCGGTACATACCCCGACCAAGAGAAGCCTGGTGCAGGGCTTAAGTTGCTTTGACTCTCAGCTTTAGACGTGTCTGGGTGTGTCTGAAAAGCTGGTGGTGAGTCAGCCAGTGTGAAGCCTATTTGTTGTAAGAGTCTGTGATGCTTCTGGGAAAGGATTCATCCCAAGAGAAGAAAATGATGAGGGAATAGGAGAAAGATACAAAAGGCATGGAGCAGTGTCAGGGAGGGGTATAGAATAAATTTCCTTCTGATCCAGCCTCCTGGGTCCTAGGGAGAGAACACTGCAATAAAGATGAATGAAAATTAAGGCTGTCTCATGAACTCTAGGATTCTATAAACACATAGCAAACCAGTGTAAAGAACACTACCAGGTTGGCAGGCAAAGTGCCTTTCACCAATAGGGACAAATCTGAGGCAAGTCCGGACACATTAGTTGGAGTATCAGACCAGGTCATTTACACTCCAAAGAAGAAAAGGACAATGTGTGTTGGCGTCTTCAGATGTTCTCAGCAGTGCTATCCCTTTTTGTGACAGTGACAGACCTCATACAGGGAGTTAGGGCAGAAAAGAGTAAAAAGGCAGCTTCCTTGAATATTGTAAGGAGTATTTTGTAAGCGTGTCTACACCCCCTGGAAAATTCCAGAATGCTCAGAGAAGAATGTGAGCTGATCTGAAGTTCCCCATAGGTGGATGAATCTGGTTTTGCTTCAGGCCAGTGTAAGCAGAGAAATATGTGCTGTGAACTTTCACTTCACTGATGGTTAATTGATCTCATCTGTTTACTTGTCTCTCTCCATTAGATGGAATTCTTTGAGAAAATAGTAATTGTCTTATTCAGCTCTATATTCTTAGCATTTAAAACAGTGGCTGCGACCTAGGAATTGATCATTAATTTTGCTTGTGGAATAGAAGAATCTCTTTTTCCATGTACAGGTCTCAAATTCTTCTGTTACCCTTCATTGCTTCTTATCTCACTTTGGAAACCCCTAACCACACAAACTCTCCTGGGTTCTCTTAATGTTTACAGACATGATTAGGTTTGGAGGCAGTTACCAACAAGACAGGCCTGATTTCCAGAGGCCAAGGTTCATAAGAAAGCTCTGCTTCTAGCTTACTGGATAACTCCTGAATCCCAGTAATGTCATTTCACTTTTGAGCTATTGGTCTCCACTGCAATGCAAAACCCCTAGAAGAGTAAATTCTTTAAACAGCTATCATTAGTTTACACATTCTTGGCCATTTACTTCCAAGCCTATCTTAAGAACAGTCTTTGTTGAGTGCTAGGGCCTACAGTTTTAAGGAAGAAGAAAAGTGGGCAGCCTGGGAAACCTGGAAAAGGACAAACTTCCCACTTTGAACTTTATTGGACCCCGCTGTGCCTGAACTTCCCTTTTTTTTCCCTGTCCCTTCCACCTTTTCCGCAGCCCCAAGCAAATTCTGAGCTAAAAGGAAAAACAGTTGGGGGTCTTGAGAAGAGGACCAAGCAAATTGCCACAAACTGACTTTCACTCAGTCCCTGGTGCCTCAGTGTTACTGGAGTCTCTGGAAAGGGGAAAAAAAATAAAAACTCACTGCCAGTGAGTCAGGTCCAACCCACAGCGACCTCTCCTTGGGTTTCTGAGGTGGTATGTCTACAAAAGTAGACTGCGGACAGGCAAACCTCTGGCCAGTACCTTGGTTTTGCCAAATACCAAAGTTCAAAATATTTCTTTCAAGAGAAGTAGTGAAACTTGGGACCCACAGAGTGAGGCCTCTACCAGCAACTAACAACAAATCCAGCGTCAGATTATCCAACAAGCAAAGTAAGCACAGGTTTATTTGTGCTTACTTACTAACCTGTATTGAACAATTCATATTTTTTCAAATACCACATCGAAGATTCTGCTTCTAGGTATGGCTGGCATCTGTCTCTCTCCCAATGCCACAGCCCTTCCTGCAGAATCAGAGCTTCTTTTCAAATTTACAATCCCTGACAGAGATGAAGTACCCAGTAAGCAAACAAAGTAAGCACAGGCTTATTTGTGCTTACCTTGTTTATTGGGTACTTTGGGTACTCTGCCCCTAAGTGTGCCTGAATGTCCTCTTTCCTCTTTTGAGTAAGTACACCACTTGAGAATGGTATCTATTTTAAATTAATCACAAATGACCTTTTAAAGAGATAATGAAAACTGAGTTCTAAAAAGTTATCAACCAGAATTGTACATGTGGAGATTGTAGAAATGGCAAATGTTCTGTTACCTATATATTTACCAAAAAAAAAAAAGTTATCAACCAGGCATTTGATAGGGAGGACAGCTGCCAGGCCCATTGCAACACCCCTGTCCTCAGCAGTCCCTGATGGAGGGAGTAGCCGACTCCTACAACCAGAATGACTTGCTCAACATGACCCTTCTCTGATAATTCACCCACAAGCACAGATAAGGTGCTCCATTCCACCACAACACACACACACACACACACACACACAGTCCAGTGGCCTGAGGGGCCAGCTCACACCAATAGTGGCCTCTGATTGAAGAGTTACTGCACTGGTGCTGGGGAGCGGCCTCCAGCCGTTGCCAGGACCCTTCTTTGCCCCTGGGCTTTTATCTGCCAACCTTTGAGGGATTCACAACCTGCCTCCATTGTTGACA